CTGCGCTAAAAAAATGACGGAAAATAATAATGGCTCTCACGGCAAAAAAAAAAAAAACGGTGTTTTTTTTTTTTAACGGCACGAAACCAAGAAAAATACACGGCCAAGTGCAGTCGGGGTGCGGGTGGTGATAACCTTAGTAGTTCAGGCACTTCGAGGGAGGGGACGGAGGAGAGGTCGGGGGTGGGTTGATGGATCACGCAAAGATGGGAGCATTGTGCTTGTGAGAGACGCTACCTGGGGTGTCACTGAAAGCAGTGGAGCAAACAGGTTGTTGTCCTGTCCGATCTCAGTGTGACCACACAATCAGCACGGGCCGTCACCAACCTGAACAGATGCATTGCTTGCATGTGCACCTCTGATCTGCACGGTTGGCTACGTACAGCGGCGCTAAAGAAGTTCAACATGCGCGCACACATAAGTTACACGATATGCACGGGTGTGTGTTTGCACGGCAGGCGTATCGATTTGTCAGGGTCGTGAGTTGATTTCATCGTTTTGACATTAAGGAGACTGTAAGAGGCCCAATGGCTGCAGGGGTCACAAGGCGAGCGTTACCTGAAGCAATGACAAACGTCATAAATATAAATAAAGTACAGCCCATTGTCACTCCACTGCTGGATGACCACAGTCCATCACGCCGGCTGGTACGGATTCCTTCAGATATCGCTCAGCGTGAGATGTGAGCATTGGCTGGGAATCGAACTCGGGTCACTGGGGTAACATCGCATCCACTCCCGACGCGACCTATATAAATCGAAACACATCGATTCTTATGCACACGAATCAATGCCGTGCGTAGAGTTCATGCGGCACGTTTGGGTTGGGTGTGGGGTTCATGAAAAGGACAAGGGGCCACGCCCATACGAGATCACGAGAGGGGTGTTGGCAAGGCATGCGAGGGAAGGGGGGGGGGAAACCGATTGACGGGAAAGAAGAGGGTAGATATTAATGTTCATAAATTTTACCAGGTAAGGCCCACTGAGCTACGTAGCTCTTGTTCAGAAGCGACCTGGCCACATATGATAGCTCAACGAAGTGGCTTATCACCTGGAAATTTATAGCAGCCAAACACTCTAAACGCACGTCGATTCTAAATTTAGAGCGCAAAAACCGTGACCACAAGGAGAGCCAAGCAAACTCCAAATATACAGCAGCAGCAGCAGCAGGCGCCAGGGTCGGGATCGAACCCACGACCTCGTTCATACCAGGCGAGGCAGGGAAGAGGAGAGAGAGCCAAGGGGGCTCCGGGAATGACGAGGCACGGTCGTCAACTGCAGCACCGTGGTCCGTGCCCTACAAGTGTTCGCTCTTGTTGGCTGTTGGTGGGAACGATGCAAAGTTCCCTTAGCAGGTCGACTCGCGTGGACTCCCTTTCACATGGATCGGGCGCCCAGTCGTTACACATCAAAATCATCGTTGCACCCTGAGCGGAACATATCTCGTTTCGCCATCGATCCAAATGCGCGCGTTCCTTGTGACCGACGGCGCAGACCCCACCCGCTTAAGCCCACTCGCTTAGCCATGTAATGACATTGACATCCGGCACTAAATGGGGAAAAAAGTGCGTCACGGCACTCGGTCCGAAGCCATTCAAATGTACGGGAGAGCCGAGCGTGCCGAACAATTGTCCACAATTCATAAGGCGTGCTTATCATCTGGTTACAGCACAAAAGGCTCAACCTCTCTTGGCCCTGGGATGTTCAGGAGAATGCGCAACAGCGGCGTGTGTTTGAACAATCACGATGGGAAGCCATTGCAGAGGTAGGACTTCGCTTAGGAGCGAGCCTTTTAGTTTAAACAGAGGGTTTCGGGGGTTGGGGGGGATGGTGGTGGGGTTGAGTCCCTTCCATTCTCGCTATTTACTTTTCTAACCGACACTGGGGGGTCCGTGCTCTTAATTTCCGTGTGCGCACAAATACAAGGCCGCGTTCAATTTGATTTAACGTAGCCGGCTGTTGAGCTGCTTTCGCGCCGTGAGTAGCCAACCGGGCTCATCGGAGGTGCGGGATTTCCGTTGTCACCCGGCTGTTGCGTTTACAGCGCTGGGCAATTCCCTGTGAACTACGGCTGGCGTTTTGGTTGAAAGGTGTTGGGGCAGTAGAAAATGAGGCAGTGCCAATCGACCAAAACGAGTGCTACATTTCAGCACTGGCACGTCTGGAATTGCAACTCCAGAGGTCACCAGTTCGAGCTCCCAGTGCAGCTGTTGGAACAATGGCGAAGTTCCTTAAATCCACCACCACTTTCTGTCCAACCAGCATAATGAAATGGGTACACCACAGATAATCTATAGCAGGGATGAACCTTTACTTTAATAGTGGTAAGTGAACTCTTTTTTTTTATCTTCTCAGGTAAGGCCCACTGAGCTATACCTGTACAGCTCTTTTTCAGAAGCGTCCTGCCACAAATGATAGCTCAACGAAGTGGCTTACTGTGTGGAAATTTATAGCAGCCAAATACTCTCAATTCTAAATGAGGGGAAAAACCGGAGGACCCGGAGAAAAAAAATCCACGCGACCACGGGGAGAGAGACACGCAAACTCCAAATAACCAGGCATCAGGGTCGGGATCGAACCAACGACCTCATGTATACCAGGCGAGGTAGTTAACATCTGGCCACCGTGCCAATTAAAGCTGTTCAGAAACTGACTGTTGGGCCACGTTGGTCAAAATTTTGGTAAAACAGATAGGAGAGGCCCCTTGGAGCCACATTACTGAAAGAGAGCAGAAACAGCAATGAGGTTTGCGCCAAACAAAATGGGAAGACATTGTTAAAATGAATCGGAAAACGTGATCTTGGCATGGGATCCATGAATAAAATAAGACAAAATATAACGAGCGAGCTCGTTTTAGAGGCTATACATCTCGTACTCAGATAAAAACAAGTTTAGAATAATCATGCATACTCATGGATAATGCAACGCTTTCCAACACGTGTTGTCTTCCAACATAATTAATTGGCAGTACGTAAACCGATAGGTAGCTGCGGAGGCAAAATGCGTTTGCACCTTCGCAAGTAGTCATTTTTTCTGTGGTTCAAGTCTGGCCGATTGTAGGCACCGCTTTGGTGAATATGGACAGTGTTCGAAAGAGTTGGTCCCCAATTGAAACACAACTTTAAAGAATTCCCCCTAATCGACTATCTCCCAAGTTCCCTATAACCTCGCTTAGTAACAAACAAAAACACTATCATATCGCATTCACTAACACCTCAAAAAAAGTTCCGCTCGACATTACGGGCCGCTCAGATATGTACTGTATATGTACTGTACTGTATAAACTACCGTACCATCGCAGGAAGCCCATGAAAGAGCCTAACAGCTTATTGGGCCATTCCTGCCGAGTCTGGATCGTGCGAGGATGTGTGACCACCACGCACGAACTGGATGTCACGGTGCTTGTGGGGGGCGCGAAACAAGGTGGGCAGGATAGGGCGGTGCGGAGGGAAAAAAAAACCTCTGTGTTTTTCGCCGACATCAACCGGCACCACCCAGCGTGGTGAAGTAACCTCCATGGCACACACAGGCACGGGGAGGGGGCCTCATCCAGTAGTCAGCTGACAAACGGGCGACACAAGTGATGGTACATGAGCATTGCACCAAAGTATATGGCTTCATTCTCATTACTGCTTCAGGACCATCCGCACCACTGTCGGAACAGAGAGATGCATTAATTTTTAAAACGTGTGAATCGCAATTAAAGGCTTGTTTAAAAAAATATAATCTCGATAATAACGCTGCTAATGTGCGCCCGTGTCCGTTCACGTATGTTTTGCGCAGATACAAGGGGCTGTACGAGGAGGAGGTGTAGAAAAAGAGCACCTTGGCAGGATTATAATGAAGTCTGCATGGTTTTCAAAAACACTGTAATTAAAATACAATGGGAATTTACCATTTGCATAATTGGCTTTTGTAAAATACAAAAGAAATTTGTTGCAACAAATCGTCCTTCGAGTTAATTAAAAATTAGTTTTTTGTGCACTACACATTTGCACACGATCTATATTCATTCACATTTTAACGCAAAAATAGCCAATTGTCAAGGTTTGCCGAGGTATATTTTTGCGCACAGTTCATTAAAAAACGAAGGGGAAGCACTGGCACAGTGGTGAGGACATTACGCAATGAACCCGGTGACCCGAGTTCAATTTCTGGAATTTTCCCAGTGGAAAACCAAACTGAACACGAAGGTTTTGCGTGCATTCATTAAACGATCAGGCTAAGACCACCAACTTACTACACCTGAGACGGTCGCTGCATCGCGCGCTTTCAGATGCGCTTCTGCGGCCGTCTGGAACACCTCTTCCTTCCGATATTAGGAAGCCACTGGAGCTATGCGTTTTAAATCATATAGATTGAAAACTAATTTCTTTAGAACAGCTTTTTGTGTTTAGTTTGTTGTCCTTCCCCCACACCTCCGATTAGCACGGTAGGCTACGTAAGGTGCGAAAGAAGTTCAACATCGAAATATACATAAATCATGTGTGGTTGAAACCTGGATTGGAAACCAGGTTCTCAGCGGTATGGGCTTGGTGCTCCAAACCCAAGCGATGGGACAACGGATGGGGCAACGTCACTCTGACACCCTGGCCATCCGGCCACCTCACTCGGCATCACTTTTGCAATAAACATCGGAAGCTGTAATTTTCACTATCTCCCTATTTATTTTACCAGGTAAGGCCCACTGAGCTATGTAGCTGTTTTTCAGAAGCGAACTGGCCACAAATGATAGCTCAATGAAGTGGCTTATTATTTTGAAAATGATAGCAGGCAAATACTCTAAACGCATGCTTCTAAATGTGGAGAGACAAATCGGAGGACCTGGAGAGAAAAAAAATCCACGCGACCACGGGGAGAGAGAGAACACGCAGACTCCAAATATACAGCAGGCGTCAGAGTCGGGATCAAACCCACAACCTCCTGTATACCAGGCGAGGTAGTTAACATCTCCTCTTCCGCTGCGTTCATCCATGGTCGCGTGACCAGGGGGGGGGGGGGTGGGGGTGGCGGAAGGGGGGGAGGGGGTGAACATGACAGCAGTACTAAGATTTTCCCACGGCTGGCGTCGCTGTCGCTGGCGCCAGGAGCAGCAACTTCCCGCAAAGCCCGGCACGCACGCCGCCCTCGGCTGGCACCACGTACGTGGTGCCATCCGCCTGGCGCCGGGGGTCGAACTCGAGCAGCTGCCCGTTGCTCTCAGCCACTCGGTCGAAATCCCAGAGTCGATGGCGTACGCTCTTGCCTTGCTTGGCGAGCAGGTAAAGGGCACGCACCTGGGCCGCGGGGCGGGTTGAGGGCGGAACACGCGTACACAGGCAGCGTTAAGTTTAGTCGGAATTTTTCACTTCGGCTGCGGTCTCGAGTCGAGTGGAAGATAAAACAACCCCATGGAATTTTAATCAAGCCCTCCTGTGCGGACTTCATTAATCCTCTCGACTACAGCGGTAGTTAGGTATTAAAACGGTGGTGTGAGGGGTGGGAGTTTTCCACCCCTCACACCCCTCCAAATATTATCAGGTAAACCAATCAGTGATCTCTGTAACTATTTACCAAATACGTACAGAGACGATGACCATTTGTATCGTCTTCCTCAGAGCACTGCGGTCTTGAAGAGCGTTCATGAGTTATATCTTAAGTCAATGTCTCCGTTCAGGCTCAATCAATTCGTCTTGTCACAGTCCCGTTGAAGTCTTAGAGGTGAGCAGCAGTCTTCAAGTCACGGTCAAGTTTGATGATTTTCATCCACTCAGTCATGCTTGCCTGAAGAATTTTTTTTTTAAATCCCACTTGGTTGACAAATAGTTTAGCCACTGTTTTCAGGGGGCGAGAGAGCGTGGGGTCACAGGGCAACGTTCGCATCAGCAAGCGGGGATGCCCCCTGATGGATGCCTTGGGAGGAGTATGGGTAATGATTAATACGGCTCTGGCATTGCCTCGTGGGGGGGGGGGGGGCATGGAGACTGATCGAGATTTGAAACAGGTACCCGCTTGGCGAAATTGGCAAAGCTCAGAACGATGGGGCATTTATTCGCAATTAATTTTTGCCGTTTCTGGAAATAACTATTGCCGCAATGAGTCATTGGGTCCGTTTGATAAAAGCAGAGCATAAGAATTGATTTTGCAATAACTAGCTCAGTAAATTCAGATTTTCTTAGCTTATTTTATTTCATTCTTACCGGTCACTTAACTCCCTTTCCTTCCCTTCATCCTTTTCAGAATAATTTTGCTTTCCAATCTCGTCTCTTTTTGTCATCCCTCTTACATCCATTCCACTTAACTGTTTTAAGATTTTACAAAACCTATAACAAAAAACTTCCCAAAACCCCTCAATTTTTCTCGGCATCCTTAATATAACATCCTCACTCTTAAATGTTTTTGTGTAATGTGATGATCACACGTGCACGTGACTTGTCATTGGTCTAATCTATCCGAAATGGTCAACAGGTCGTGATTTGAAATTCTGAACCTGTAGTCCAGGTGCAGAGAACAACTCCTTGACTCTGTCCTCTGCAGATTCTGCGGAATAGAGCCCTGGAGTCTCTGCAACTTCCTCGAAACACGTCTCCACGTCCGACCAATCCACGCCAAGCAGAGCCCCTGGAATAACAGAGCACCGTTAAACCGCTGATGCAGGATGCGTCGCTAGAAGGGCTGATGGCCGGCGGTCGAAACTAATGGCGAGAGTGCCAGCCAAAGGAGGGAATGTGCTCAGGGTCGAGAGGATGATCCACAAGAGCGTACAGAAATCAGCGCGTATTCAGGTGCTACCTGGAACACCACGGTGGCGAGATGTTAACTACCTCACCTGGTATACGGGAGGTCGTGCGTTCGACGCTGACACCTGTATATTTGGAGTTTGAATGCTCTCCCCATGTGGATTTTTCTGGTTCCTCTGGTTTTACCCTCCAGAATTAAGAAACTATGCATTTAGAGTATTTGGCTGCTATAAATTTCCATGTAATAAGCCACTTCGTTGAGCTATGATTTGAGGCTCAGTGGGTCTTACCTGGTCAAATTTAAATTGTTTATAGTAGTAATACGTCAAAGGATTGAGAGAGATGGCGCTGGCTTGGGGAGGCTTTCATCCAGCAGTGGCCTGATCATGGCCGATGATATAAATGCTGGTGATATTAGTGTTGCCATTAATTACCACGAAGCATTTGCGAATACGATGTTTTACATATATACTGTTAATATCTTGAGAAATTTCGTGGTAGAAATCAATGCAGAAGGTTATCACAACTGGGCAACAAGTTGACGGACATTCGTTTTTTTATTTAAACTAAAGGGTGATGATATTTTTTACAGCCCTCTGTCAATCATCCGCTGCTGTACGAAGACTTGCGCACAGCCACGTCGGTTTGTTTGACCATACTTCACCGAGCCGGTCGGTGTGTGGCTGAGTGAAGGTGGGGAGTTCCCCCTTCCCCCCACCCCCTCAGATGGGTTCATCGCTCACCTCGCCACCCATGTCAACCCGGGGACAGAAATCAAACTTCAAGTGAATGCATTTTTTTTATTTTTTATCTAATATTAAACCACGTATATGGCAGGTTTCCCCCCCATTATAAATTAATCTAGTTTCAAGCATGCGCCGCGTAATCACCACATCATCCCGAACACGTCCCAGAATTAGTTTAATGGCCCTCTATCCTGGACCATCTGTACACCCATTAATCGTATGCACTCATAACCTGCATGCAGTAACCTAGTTTCAAATTAAATCTTTTACAGTAAAATTCAAATCAAGGAAAGCTCATCCTCTGTTGATCTTTGGTATTTATTATGCAACTGCTACGAATACCGAGTATCCGGTGATATTTTAATTGCCAAGTCAAATGTAGTCTACTCATGAAGTGTATTACAGGCCACTGCATTCTCACTGAAAAAATGTGGCTAAGCTAAAGGGGAGCGGTGGTGCAGTGGTTAACACACTGTGTTATAAACCTGACAAATCCGAGTTCAATTCCCAAGCAGATTCAACATCAGTGGTGAGTGATATCTGAACCGGTTGAGGGCCCCACCACACTAATTTCTTTAGAACGGTTGGCAACGTACGGTGCGAAAAAAGTTCAACATACATACCACTAACCTGCACTGATCAGCATGGTGAAATATGGTCAACGACCCCTATAATTGACATGGTGTGGGGCGGTTTTAATCAAGCAAATAAATATTATTGTTGTGTAGCTAATTCTATTGAATATTTGCTGTAATGAATCTTACGCATCTTCTTTGGTTCTTTCGGTAAAGTCACGTAGAATGAGAATAAAATAATAAATTGATAAAATAACACAATAATATTCTCACGACGTTTCGGCCACAACACAAGCGGCCTTCATCAGGTGAAGGGACGAGACTGTCTGGTAGGACAGCGCTGTCCTACCAGACAGTCTCGTTTATTATTTTATTCTCATTCTACGTGACTTTACCGAAAGAACCAAAGAAGATGAATCATTGCAGTCACGAAAGCTTTAAATCGAAATTGAATCTTACGCAATGTATTAAGTAGCTATTGCTTGTTTGACCCAAGTCACAATAAATGCATCGTTACTCCAGTGCTCCCCCATTTATTTTTGTACAACCTACGCAAAATGCACATTGGTAAACATTAGCAATTTGGTTCTTTTAGCATTAAAATTGCGAAGCAATATAGATTGTGTGCAAAGGTACGACGCACTACAAGCATTTTTTTAATTAACTCGAAGCATGGATTTGCCGTGCCCATCTTTGTTCGGGTAGCCGAGGGCTGCGGCCGCAAATGGTTTCAGAATCCAACCCCCCCACGAAATTTCAAATGTGACTCCAATAAACTCGTCGCAAAATACGCAAAACCGCGATTGTTTGTAAGCACTGCGGACATTAAGCGGTGACTGTAACGGGAGGGTGCCCTGTGCAGACAGTGACACGTTGCGGCTTACCGGTGACGACCGCCCAATGAGCCTTGTGACCGCGCTTGTTACACGGTTCATAGTTGCTGTCCGAGTCGTACCTCAGGTTCCGCGTCAAGGGCTGGGGGGCTATGGCATGTTGCACGGCGTTCGCTTACTCCGAATAGCGCGGTTGGCTACGTACGGTGCGAAAGAAGTTCAACATGCTGTACATAAAATACAAAGAGCACTGGGTGGATAAAATGGAGCGACTTGGTACAGTGGGAAGCACACAGGTTGTCACGTCTACCAGTCATCTCAGTCTGTTAACCTATAGCACCTGAGTTTGTCCCGTAACCTCTTGCCACCAGAGATCCTTCCACAATGCACGTGGCTTTGAAGTGCACTTAGCCTGGCGCGAACGCCGTGGCGAGGTCACCACTATTTCGTGCAGAATGTGGAGATCCTTGTTGTTGTTGTGAGCCAATGCCGAAGATGTCGGTGCTTGGTGGCATTCGTTTACTCCGATTTGCACGGTTGGCAATGTATGGTGTGAAAGAAGTTGAGCATTTCGGATAGATTACATGCGTATGTTTAGATTATTTTGCTGCTATAAATTTCCACATAAGCCACTTTGTTGAGCTATCATTTGTGGGCCAGGTCGCTTCTGAAAAAAAAAGCTATATAGCTCAATGGGCTTTACCTGGTAAGATAAAAAAAAATAGTTACGTTTCAATTGTGTATATTTTTATGTGATTTGTTTAACCTTTCCTTATAGTTTTCCCTGCTACCGCGTTTTTATATTGCTTGTTATTTATAACTTTCTGACCCCGCGTGCACCTACTGGACATCTGTGAAAAAGAGCTTCATAGCTCATCGGATTCCTCTAGTTGAAACAAATATTGATTCCAAAATAAATATTCTGATACCGATTCTGACAGACACACATTAGGACAGGCGCGCGCGGCCGGGGACGCCCGAGGAAATGCGTTACGTCGTTTGCAGCGCGCCGCGGGGCACACCATACCCCTCCTCTTGGTGCAATGTCCCAACGTATCCACTCTTGCGGCGAAAACGGGGGGGGGGGGGGGGTGTCAGCCACAATTCACGAATTGCTTTAGAGATGCTTTTTGTGTCTAGTTTTTTGTACTTCCCCCACACCTCCGATTAGAATGGTTGGCTACGTATGGCGCGAAAGAAGTTCAACATGCGTAGAGACGTGCGTGACACTCGGGCGCAAAATGAGCAAATACGTTAACCGCTTAAGACCACAATTTACACAGATAATTAACGCAATCACAATAATTTTTGCAGTCCATTGCCGTGAATGAAAGTCTCGCTATGCCGCGTTGGTTGCGAGGGGGTTGTTTGAACATACTTCACCGTGCTGGTCAGTACGGTTTGGCGAGTAGCGGGATGGAGACAGGAGCACATGTAATAACACTCGCCGCTCATGTCAGCCACGGCCGCGAATCAAACCTCAGGCCGCCGGGTTCACGGCACGGTGTACTAAACACTACACCGGCGTCACACCACCACGGCCGTGCAACAACAAATACATCGAATTGATGAATAATCGCCACGTGTCGAATCGTGCGTGTAATAATCTGTTTGTCCATTCATATAAGTTGCTTAATTGGTTGGTGAGGTGCTACGGTAGTGAGAAGACTGCGCTATGAAGCCAGCAATCCACGTTGTATTTTCGGCCACGGCTGACATCAGTGGCGAGCGTCGTCTGTGCCGAACCTGGACTCCTCCTTCTCAAAGCCTCCCGAAACAAAAGTATGAGTTGGCGATGCTGCGTCGGCAGTGGTGCCACAATTAAGCACAACTGACAACAACGAAAACACAGCTCGGCGTATTTGTCGCCGGCGCTGGGGTCAAAATAAGTAAATAAATAAGAGCTCGCGTTCGGGGCAACGGTCGTCATTTGTGTGCTATGAAGAGGAGCCGCTAGCCCAAGCGTCGCCTATTGCTTACCTTTTCTTTTCAGGCCACAGTGTTACTGACTCGTGTGTTGACTTTTTGTTGTTGTTGTTGTTGTTTAAAAGTATGGTCAAGTATGGTCAAACAGTCACGAAAGGCACTATATTAACCGTGGGCCCTGGATCGTAATAGTAGTTCGTCAGATCGCGCGGGGTCGGGGGGGGGGCAAATTGTCACGTGCCGAATATACAGTGATAACGGTACTTAAATTTACAAGAAAAGATAATGGGCTGTGCTTGCAGTGGTGTTCAAGCACAAATTAAAAAATAATCATGCATTTCACCATTAACACTTGCCTTACAAAAGGAAAAAAAATAGGCTGACACTTTGCCCTCCTTCGGAGCAGGTATATCAGCGGGTAATTAAAATGTGAACACCTGAAAATGTCATTACCAATAGCCAGAAATAACCGAAACTGTTTCAGACACAGCGCGCATCTAATTGGAGAGGCATAATATGTATGCAAATGCTTGAGGTTTAACAGGAACATTAAACCATGGGAAACGAAGAAGAAAAGTTATGCACACGCGTGGATTTAGGTAACCCATTCTGACATATTTGATGATTAGAGGTATTAAAAGGGAGTGCTCGCCAGGCACGCAGGAAGCAGTCCGTCCGTCCGCGCAGGAAACAATGAGACCACGGGGCTTGGAGAGCGGCTCTGCCAGGGAGTGTGCCAGGAGTAGCGCAAGTCCACCCAGCAGCAAAACAACTTTACATCAAAGTATCGGTCATTTTTGCATCGTCTTTACGACAGTTATCATGCCCCTGCCCCCGGTACAGACGGACAGAACTGATGCACAAATGCTTTCAAGCAGATCTGGAATGTGTTTAAACAAAAAAAAATGCGGCTCAGCAGCAGAGAGGATACGGTATGAGAAGGGGCTGTCCCCGTACGAGATGCTCAATAATGAGGCTTCGGTTTTCTCCCAGCATGCCGTTCTGCAACAGTGTCACTTGACATCCGAACAGGTCCTCAGCCAGTCGTGACATATCGAAAGCTGCAACAACGGAAACATTGTAATCAACGTGATCATCGGTGGGCGGATTATCCAGGTCTCGGATTATCCGTGTTTGTAAATACATATATTTACATGCGCAATAATTGAACAGTTAGCTGCTGCTCACTCATCAAAGGTCAGTGGCTCAGTGCTCACTTAACCGCAAACGTAGGAAATTAAACAAATATTTGCAGGGCGGCACAGCGTACACCTTGTCAGTGCCCTGAGAACGACTATTTATGGGCACTTTATACATTTCAATTATTATATTTTCCGCACAGGGACAGCTGCCCCTGGGGGGTCCCCCTTGGCAAGACTCCAGCAGAGCATTGCAATGGTTGAGATGAGATGTGATGAAATGCATTAAAGCAAGCGCCTATACATTCAAATCCTTGATCTGTTTTCAATAAGAACAGATAACACATTATGTGTCTTCACATGCATTCTATGTAGTTAACCATAAATATGCTTGTGCAGTCTAATTTACATCTGTTTAGCATCATCCATGGTTTCTTTATCCGAGTCACCCCTTCATTACCTCAGATAATTTACAAAATAAACCTTTAAAAAAAACAAATACCTTCAAACACTGCAAAATGCGTATCAATCGATTACGTATGATCTTTTTTTCTTATCAAGCTTACAAAAGAAAAGCTTTGACTTTTAGTACGTACACGAGTGAACGTCATGCGTAATTTAATTACCCGGGAAAACCCTCGCTTCAAGTCTTGGGAAATTTTTTTCCGGAGGGGTTATTGGGGCCTACGGATGTACGGCGAGCGCTTTGCACGTGAGAGGAAAACCGTAGCACACTTTGCCTTGTTAAGCGTCGGCGGTTAACAATGCAAAGGTTTAAAAAAAAAATGTATTTCGAAATGCTTTTTGTGTTTAGTTTGTAGTCCTACCCCCGCACCTCCGTGAGCACGGTTGGCTACGTACGGTGCAGAAGAAGTTCAACATACACACGTGCAAACGTCCCACACAGGCCACTTCACAAAACCCGCTTTATGTACTGCCTTCTGCCAGTCAAAAGCGTTACCACAACAGGTAAGAGAGTTTGGCACATTTCTCCTGGTGCGCCCCAAAGCTACCACATCGTGCTGCGAGAGAACGGGAGGGAGAGCGAGAGAACGGGAGGGAGGGCGAGAGAACGGGAGGGAGAGCGAGAGACAGGGAGGGAGAGCGAGAGGACGGGAGGGAGAGCGAGAGAACGGGAGGGAGAGCGAGAGAACAAGATGGAGAGCGAGAGAACGGGAGGGAGAGGGAGAGAACGGGAGGGAGAGCGAGAGAACGGGAGGGAGAGCGAGAGACCGGGAGGGAGAGCGAGAGACAGGGAGAAAGAGCGAGAGAACGGGAGGGAGAGCGAGAGGCAGGGAGGGAGAGCGAGAGAACGGGAGAGAGAGCGAGAGGCAGGGAGGGAGAGCGAGAGAACGGGAGGGAGAGCGAGAGACAGGGAGAGAGAGCGAGAGAACGGGAGGGAGAGCGAGAGAACGGGAGGGAGAGCGAGAGACAGGGAGAGAGAGCGAGAGAATGGGAGGGAGAGCGAGAGAACGGGAGGGAGAGCGAGAGACAGGGAGAGAGAGCGAGAGAACGGGAGGGAGAGCGAGAGAACGGGAGGGAGAGCGAGAGACAGGGAGAGAGAGCGAGAGAACGGGAGGGAGAGCGAGAGAACGGGAGAGAGAGCGAGAGACAGGGAGAGAGAGCGAGAGAGAGACAGGGAGGGAGAGCAAGAGACAGGGAGAGAGGGCGAGAGAACGGGAGAGAGAGCGAGAGACAGGGAGGGAGAGCGAGAGACAGGGAGAGAGAGTGAAAGACAGGGAGGGAGAGCGAGAGAACGGGAGGGAGAGCGAGAGACAGGGAGGGAGAGTGAGAGACGGGAGGGAGAGCGAGAGACAGGGAGGGAGAGCGAGAGACAGGGAGGGAGAGCGAGAGAACGGGAGGGAGAGCGAGAGACAGGGAGGGAGAGTGAGAGACAGGGAGAGAGAGTGAGAGACAGGGAGGGAGAGCGAGAGACAGGGAGGGAGAGCGAGAAACAGGGAGGGAGAGCGAGACACAGGGAGAGAGAGTGAGAGACAGGGAGAGAGAGTGAGAGACAGGGAGAGCGAGAGACAGGGAGGGAGAGCGAGAGACAGGGAGGGAGAGCGAGAGAACGGGAGGGAGAGCGAGGGACAGGGAGGGAGAACGAGAGAACGGGAGGGAGACCGAGAGAACGGGAGGGAGAGCGATACACAGGGAGACAGAGTGAGAGACAGGGAGAGAGAGCGAGAGACAGGGAGAGAGAGCGAGAGACAGGTAGGGAGAGCGAGAGAACGGGAGGGAGAGCGAGGGACAGGGAGGGAGAACGAGAGACAGGGAGGGAGAGCGAGAGAACGGGAGGGAGAGCGAGAGAACGGGAGGGAGAACGAGAGACAGGGAGGGAGAGCGAGGGACAGGGAGGGAGAACGAGAGGCAGGGAGGGAGAGCGAGAGACAGGGAGGGAGAGCGAGAGAACGGGAGGGAGAGCGAGAGAGAGAGCGAGAGACAGGGAGGGAGAGCGAGCGACAGGGAGGGAGAGCGAGCGACAGAGAGGGAGAACGAGAGACAGGGAGGGAGAGCGAGAGAACGGGAGGGAGAGCGAGAGACAGGGAGGGAGAGCGAGGGACAGGGAGGGAGAACGAGAGGCAGGGAGGGAGAGCGAGAGACAGGGAGGGAGAGCGAGAGAACGGGAGGGAGAGCGAGAGAGAGGGAGAGAGAGCGAGAGACAGGGAGGGAGAGCGAGCGACAGGGAGGGAGAGCGAGCGACAGGGAGGGAGAGCGAGAGAACGGGAGGGAGAGCGAGAGAACGGGAGGGAGAGCGAGAGAGAGCGAGAGAGAGCAAGCGAGAAGTTGCTCTTTCATGGAACATTAATCTCACTCCTTCACTTGGGCCCAGATGGCTTGGAGGGAGAGGGCTTACATGAGAAATGAGTGTGTTTTATTAAACACCGAGTTAAAATTATCAACAGGGTATATAGATAACCTTTAGGTTTGCAAACCTCTTCTTCATTGGGTCCACTTGTAAAAATTAACACTTAAATTGATCGCACAAACTGAATTTCTTTTTTTAATTATTATTGTTAAAGAATAAATAACTGGAAATTTAATCCATCTCAGCTGCTGTGTTTAACATCGTCTCAGACCAAGCTTAAATTACATCTTTCTTTAAACTAATCATTCACAGAGTATTTATATTTTTGGATCGTGAGCATCTTACAAGTCCGTAATTTAACTTTGAAATAATTACAACAAGCACGCCTGTAATTCAGAGCTGTGGAGGCCACGGTTGGCGTATTATTTACATTCAAAACCATTCCAAACCCGCTAAAATATGCCGGGGCTCGAAGATGGCAGTACAGCAAGTTGGTTTATGACCCATCTGTGCAGATATTCGAGCGTTTTCCAATTACCTCCTCCACACTAAACACTCCTTAAAATATAAACTGGCCAAACATCCCGATACACAAGACTCTCCCGAAAAATGTATCTTGAGACTCAGCGAGGCTTTCCCATTTCGATATTTTAAGATCGTAATTTTTGTTACTGCATCTCTCCGGGCCACAGGGTAAACGCCATGCACTACGCTACCGATACATGCGAGGAATATCGCGTGGAACAATTGATTATTTTTACGATTTATGTGACTCACCAGTAAATGATATGCTAAACGTTACATTTACGCTAATGGAGCGAACCAAACCGTGCAAGCGAGGCGTAAACGTAACAACGAGATGGTAAACAAATGGACAACGAGATATGTACACAACCGTGCTGCCAGGACACAGATGCCGAGGTGAATACTTTTTTTCGCAACCAATATCAACCATCCGAGGTTTTTTGGGTTAGATCACGTCAATATAAATGTGTCGTTAAACCCGCCACCGCCCGACACAGCCAATAAGTAAAGGTTTGTCATGTAAACAAAACAAGCCAATTCGTTACTAGTGCAGCGCACCGGTGTGTTGGAGAGTAAAAGTGTAAATGTTGTGGGTTTACTCTCCAAACACACTGGTGTGCTGCAAGAGTAACTCACTGGCACGTTCTGATTCCGTGACAAACCTTACTAATCGACTGTGTCAGTTGGTGGCAGGTTTGACGACGCATTTATATTGACGCGATCTAACCCCAAAAGAAAACCTCTACTGTGAATCCTTTTTGAGCACTCGTTGATTCCGTCCCCAAATTCTGGCCCCCGGCACTTTCATCGATCTGGCCAGCTGTCTGCGGGGCGCACGTCGCTCGTCGCTACTCGACTCCTTTCCTCGAGCTTTTTTGTTTCGTAGCGGATCATCTGTACGACAGCCATCGCGCCCCCCCCACACACCACACACCACGGGCATGCGCTCAACGCACAGGCAGACCGAGAGAGAGAGAGCGAATGAATCAACGCTTATCGCAACGTCTGTTGCGGAAAGCGTTAAGGAGACACGCGCACCTGAGAACATCTCTCCCTGGGCAGTGTAGCCACGCTCCTTTGCGGTCTGAAGGATGGCATCCAAATCCGGGCGACGGCCGGCGGGGGCCACCAGACACCCCGCCATGTGCAGTGCCACGAGGCCGCATCTGCCAAGACGACAAAGATCCCCCGCGTAGCCTTCACACACTGTTGGGGGCAAGGGCTGTGTTAGCGAGCACCTAACGAAGGCCGGAACGGCACAGGAAGGGGTGGGAGGCCAGCACCACGCCCGGCCGCCTTTGTCTCCCGAGTGGCGATGTTCATACACCACACCAGGTACTAATTTTAGGCTCAGTCGGCCTAGGGGAGGCCTAGTACCGGTTCAGATAATCGTCACTGGCTTTGGCCGTGAGCGTGAATCGAACTCTGGTCGCCGGGTTCGTAGCACGGTGCTGACCACTGCACCAAAACGGTGTATGTGTGGGTGCAGGCCACATCTGCACACACAAATATAAATGTTCCCCACACAGCCTACACAGGCTGTTCCGGCAAGTGTTGTTAGCGAGCACCTGTTAAGGCCACCGCGGCACAAAAGGGAGTGTTTTCACCAGCACCACACCACGACTTTGTTGAGCTGTGCGGCTGAGCGGAATGGGATTTCTGGGTATCCGTGTGGAATGATAAGATATGTGGCAGCGTACCCTGATCTCAGTTCTTTGTCCCACCATGGGCTAGCTGCAGGCTGACTTCATAGTGCAAACGCGATTCAAATTTGCATTGTTTTAACTTATTTACTTTCATGCCCTGCGATGAACGTGTATACGGGAACGCATCCGCCGCATTAAATGAGGAATTACTGTATACGGCACCTGAACCCGACTGGATCTCAAGATGCTGTACAAGCGGGATGACGTGCGCTTGGTGATGTTGAGAAGGAGGACGACACTTGGGAAGGGGTGCTGATGGACGATCTAGAGCAGCACAATCCTCCCCCCTCCACAGGCCCGCCGTACCGTGGTCACCAAACTTTGCTGTTCATTATCAATAAGGCCACTGCTGTGCACTGCATGCGCCTGATGGTTGGTAATCATGGAAAGGTGTCAATCGTGGAGGGGGGCGGCGGGGCGAGGCGATCGCCGGGACTAGAGGAGAGAAAGAGGGCTGGCAAAACAACAATCTTGGGGAAAGGTCAATAATTCTAGATTTAAAGCTTTCGTGACTGCAAGGATCCATACTCTTTGGTTCTATTGGGTAAAGTCACGTAGGTAAAAAATAAAATAACAAAAATCACGACGTTTCGACCACAACACAAGTGGCCTTCATCAGGTGAAGGGACCAACCTGTCCGGAGGACAGCGTTGGAGTGAAAAAAGTCAAGCGCAGGTCGCCTCCTTTAAGCTGTGAGTGGGTAAACAGAAAAGACGCCTTGACAAAGGAATTAGCATAAAATGTAAAGCTGTGGAAGAGATATGTGGATGACACTTTCGTCATTTGGCCACATGGCCTCCCAGCTCTGAACCTTTTCCTACACCACATCAATTCCAGACATCCCGCCATCAAATTCACCATGGAAGTGGAGAAAGATGGCAAGCTACCATTCTTAGATGTTCTGTTTGAGAGGAGACCTGATGGCTCATTGGGGCATTCTGTCTACAGGAAACCCACCCACAGATTCCTACTTGAAACCTGATTCCCACCACCACCCAGCCCAAAATAATTCTCTCATCAAAACTTTATACCATAGGGCTCATTGCATTTCGGACCAACACCACCTGACCAGTGAATTAAAACATGTACACCTGGCCCTCAAAAGGTATGGATACTCTGACCGTACCATCCGCCAAGCTGTTTCTCCCTCCATACAGAAACAACCACTTGATACTCCGGTCGAAACCATCACACTACCATATATAGCAGGCGTTACTAAAAAGATTTCCAAAAATCTAAACAAACACAAGATCCAGGTTCGGTTGAATACAGTACACAAAATTCGTGATCTGATCCCATCCGTGAAGGATGTCATTCCTGACTTACAGTACCCCGGGGTTTACAAATTGAGTTGTACCTGCGGTGATTGCTATATCGGGGAGACAAAGCGACATGTCTCTGACCGAATTCGCGAGCACAAATCGGATTTGAAACACGGCAAAACGAATCCTTCTGCCGTAGCTGATCATTGTTACAACGCTGTGGGTGATCACGATATAATTTTCTCCGATACCAAGGTTCTTTGCAAACCCACGGGTTTTTATCAGAGATTTGTTCACGAGGCAATCCAGATCTACAAACACAGACAGAATTTCAACCGAGAAGATGGCTTCAAATTAAGCAACCATTGGAAAGGTGTTCTAAATCGAACCAAACGTTAAAGGAATTTTTAATGGTACAGTATATTCATTCAATTAGTGGCATCCCAAACTCTCACGATGGTGCTAATGTATTTTTGATGCTATTTGCGAGCTTGCACAGCTTTACATTTTTATGCTAATTCCTTTGTCAAGGCATCTTTTCTGTTTACCCACTCACAGCTTAAAGGAGGCGACCTGCGCTTGACTTTTTTCACTCCAACGCTGTCCTCCGGACAGGTTGGTCCCTTCACCTGATGAAGGCCACTTGTGTTGTGGTCGAAACGTCGTGATTTTTGTTATTTTATTTTTTTACCTACGTGACTTTACCCAATAGAACCAAAGAGAAAGGTCAAGAACTCGGAGACGGCGTTAGAGAAAGGCGGGGGGGGGGGGGGGTCCGGTGCGTATGCAGACAAACACCCAAGGTGCAGGGCCGGAGAGAGGATGGAGGGAACTCTTAATCAAGAACGTGCCGCCCTTGGGCAGACAATTCGAAAGAGGGCATAAAAGGCGAAGGTGTTTTGATGGAGGGGGGCAGCCCGTCATGGGCGTAAAAAGAAGACGAGCGTCTTAAATCCTGGACTTGAAGAAGCAGTCAGCCATGCAGATGGCCAGACGTATGGAGTTCTAGACAGCGGAAACGGGGGTAGCATCAGAGAAGACGTGATCGACCCATTGATCAGAAGTCGACTGGCATCTTTGACTACAGACCTTTGTTGCCAGAGGCATCAACATTTTTTGTAACCATAAAACAAAACCTCCAAAATATCCTTGGAAGGACTGCCAACCTCACAAGCGTTAGGGAGAGATTCTGATTCTCAGATGCCACAGCGAAAGCAGTCTCCCAGGCTCCATGCCGTGCATGAGGCTAGGTTGCGAAGAGAATACAGATTCGCGGCTCGTATTGGAATTTCATTTTCACCCCAACACACAAAGGAATGCCCAAATGCACAGCGCTTATAAGGGTAAAGTTAAATCTTCGTCAAGTCGATGCTCGTTCAAAACTAACGAGTTGACTATTCAGTAATATCCGATGCAGAATCTCCAGATTGAATTATAATTAGTCCTGCGAGCATGATGTAATAATGCGGTGTTTTTTTGTGAAACATTCCATAGGCAATACACCGAAACATCATGTAAAATGGGGTAAAGCACGGTTTATTTTCATCTCCAATTATTTTCGCAGGGAAGGATGACTTCGTCTGATTCAATGTATTATATAAGGGTCCTGCTGCACTGAGTTGTTTGTGGCCAATAAAAGTTATTAGCCCCGATTTACGTCGGGGGGATGCGTTCCTGAAAGGTGCGACGACGAATATTGAAACGACGCCAATCAAAGCGATTTACAGGGTGGTGGTGGTGGTGGTGGTGGCGGCTGGGGGGGGGGCGACGGATAACGGGAGAGGACGGACGGTGCCGTCAGCAACTTGCGTGCGGTGTTTGAGGCGATGCAAGTCGGGTAGCAAGCGGTGTTAATGATAAAGGGACGGAGTGTTTGCGAAACGACGCAAAAGGGGGGGGGGAGAACGTACACCGGGGCTATTACTGTAGCGCGAGTGAGTGTTTGGTTTCATGCAGAGGAAGGAACCGGAGAACCCGCAGAAAACCTACGACATGTAGGAGGGGGCGACACTCGACACCGCCATCTCCCAGCCACACCTCGCAGCCCCCCATGCGCACAACACCTGGTAAACTGAAGCTACTAAACTTTGTATTTTTATTTTACCAGGTAAGATCCATTGGGCCACAAAGCTCTTTTTCAGAAGCGACCTGGCCACAAACGATAGCTCAACCAAGTGGCTTACCACGTGGAGATTTACAGCAGCCAAAATACTCTAAATGCATGTTGTTGATTCTAAATGTGGAGGGAAAAGCCAGAGGACCTCGAGAAAAATCCACACGACCACGGGGAGAACATGCAAACTCCAAATATATAGGCGTCAGGTTCGGGATCGAACCCGTGACCTCCTGTATACCAGGCGAGGTAGTTAACATCTCGCCAGCGTGGTCACCAAATACAAACCAAGTTGACCTCTGTTTTGCATCCAAGATCTGGAAAAATAAGGTGTGATTTATTCCGAGTTTTTATAATATCACATCATTGCTAAGCAATATACCGTAAGCCGGTTATTACATTTGCTCACATTGCACGTGATTTTTGTGCTTATTTATATGGATGAGTCATAGCCATATCTTCACATTTACACACCTCTGTGGCCATACAAAAAACTACAGATTTTGTGCAATGTAGCTGCAGGACACTGCTGTGAAAGCTATCTGAAAAGGCAATGTACTCAGCATCACCGGAATGCATAATCATGTGCAGATGTGGATGGGTGGCTCAGAGGTCAGAGGCACTGAGCCATCACCACTAAAAACCTGGGTTCAAATCCAGGTCTTAGTCAACTTAAATTTAAACTGGGTTACATGTGTAGTTAGTTGATAATCTTAGCCTGGTTTTCTATGACTGCACAAAAAAACGACCACGTTGAATTTAGTGATTCAACCAACTTTACAAAATCCCTCCAATGAGAATTAAAACTTCGGTTGGACTGCCATATCCCAGACCCCTCTAGAGCAGGGCACGTCGCCAAGTGCAGTACCCCTCGTCTGGATAAGAGGTCACTTGAATGGACCTCAGAAGTAGTTCCGTGACACCTCCTTCCGCAGGACATTCTCTGGAAGACGGAGACGCACTGCTCCATGAGAGATCCGAATCGACACTTTGTTTCATGACCCTGATGCCAAAATCGGAAGAAAAAAAAGTGACGCTCCGTTACCTGCCCAGTCTGTTGAGGCAAGCGTTGCAAGTGAGCACCTATCATGGCCAGTCTTGCACGCGCGGTGGTAATGAGTCAGCAACACATCTAACCACCTTTGTTTCGAATGTGACATTTACCACATTGCAATGGGTGCCACAATTTCAGCCGGGTTGACCTAAGAGAAAGCCCAGGGCAATTTTAGACATCCAACTCCGCTGCACTGTTTCCCACCCTGTGCAGAATTTTCTCGAACACGGGACCGATGATGCATTGCCCTGCTCGTGTTCTGAATGGGCAGCTCTTCATATCGTGACTTGATGCTGCAGGTGCAACTCGAATAACATTGTCAATATGACGGCATATATATGTAAAAAAAGAAAAATTCAAATGAAATGTACCAACAACCTGTTACACTCCTAAGGACAACAGCAACAGGGTGAAAAATTTCGCTATATTCAAAAATTTACATCACATATTACTCAATTCGGATTACACGCACAGCAGCAATCATCGCCTCCTACTGGCACACTAATGGGCCAGGTCACTCTTGCAAATGAGACTGAGCAATGGTCTCTTGAGCTCTCACCTGGCTAAACAAAACGAGACTTGACACTTGAAAAACAATAAACCCACCACTGCAGCTGCAGACACCGCTTTGTACAAGAGAAAGGTTGAACTTGTAACTTGGTTCACAACGCCTGCAGAGATTAAAAACAATCAACTGAACAAGCAGGCCCCTGAAAAAAAAAATCTCCCAACGGCAATTCTTGTCAACAGCTCCATCACACGAACCGTCATTGATAGGGCAGTGCAGCGACAGCAGCGATCAACTGCCTCTCACTTGGCAACATAGCAAGAACGAACCATAAAGAATCTGACTTAACAGTGGTAAAGCACAATCAGACAATCAGTGTGGCCATTAGAACTCCACGGCGGCATTCGCCAGCCGCAGAACAACACTCGCATCTGTGTTTCACACGGGGAGGGGGGGGGGGGTGGGTAACTTCATCCTCAATGCTGCTGTGATCTCATATTTGTGAAGACACTTCAGATTGTTATGATGCCCCCAAGGTCAGAGAAAGTCGAAGGCTCTCTAACGAGGCCGAAATAACAAAGATGTGCAGCCAAAATCGCATGTTGTTGGATGAATGGGCACTAACAGTTGTGCAAAGCGATCTTTTTCAAAGCAATGTATATTTTAGAATTTGCTAGTGGGAGAGGATGCTAGCAATTCGTGGGGGGGGGGGTCGGGGTGGGGGGGAAAGTGCTTCCCAGCGTATTACAACAACGCTGACGCATACCTTCTGACATTTTTCAGCCGAGATCTCCGTTGTCCGAGCGCGTTCTCCAACAAACACCGGAGGCGCGCTCTCCCTCCCCCTGTGAAGCTACACGGGCCCCCCACCACGCCACCCCCCGGGGTGCCCAGCTCAGCGCCACATCAGCCCGTAAAAGCTTTATCCGCAAAGACCTGTCCGGCGAGCACTCGCGACTCGGCAATGCGATGGTACCTTTGCTGCGCATTACATATTTAACAGCCCGCGCAGACGAGGACTGCCGATCGGCGCAAGGAGCACAATTAAGAGCCAATGGAGCTGAACCAAAAAAAAAAAGTCAATGAAGCTCAGCGGCGATGGCGATCCCGCTCAGACTGGGAGCGCCGAAGCGCAGCAGCGCGGAGAGCCGGCGCGCACCGACAAACGCGGGCCATTCCACCCGTCAACTCGCAACAGCCAAGAGACGGCCGTGGCGAGAGATGCAACGCTCGTGAGTGGCACTTGAAAGCCACGGCAACGGAGAGCAGACCGGAGCGGGGCAGGGCAGGCAAGGAGCCGGGCTGGCCATTGGACGTCATTGGCGGTTGACAGACGCAGTTGATCAACGAGGTGGTTCGGTCAATGCACGCACCACCGAAGTTTTAAGTGTCGGTATTACGCCTTGTTTTCAAGTTCTACATGAGGAGAGTCCAAGCTGTTGGGTTGGTCTGTTTTAGCCTGAGGTTGTGTAATCAGTTGCATGTACTAAGCTCTTAACATCCACACCGATGATAGCCCCATTGAGTTATTCATCACAACAACAAAAAACTTGAATCATCTTCTATAATGGGCAGCAAAAATGCTGTTTTCATATTTCAGGAAGCGTGTTATTTGCGCAGACATTAAAGCTACAACTACCTTTTTTTAAGTGTATACCATTATGTGTACAATTTCCCAACAGTGGGAGAAGGAATAACATAAATCTATCCAGCGTACATCTTTATCGACAACATGGATCTGTGCCAGAGAAAGTATTTGTGGAAGAAGCACAGAAACAGAACCCTCCATTGGCCCGGGCCCAGCCACACCAACTTTGCCCACGCTCGCTGTGCACGAGGTTGTTCTCGAGACAGGATAAGACCGAACCAAGCGTAAATATAAATTCTGGGAAAGCCCTTTTTTGTCTCGCCCCCAAACCTGAACCCTACACCAACCCACCTCGGCGACTGGGCTCAAACGGTCAAACCCCGACCGCAAACACGCGCAAAGATTTTCACCCCTAGACAGGAGGAGAGCGGTGCATTTTTCATTCACCTGCCCCGCACGGCTGGAACCCGGGATCGCAAGGGTTCACCGCGTGCCAACTCGGCAAAGAATTAGCAGCGGAGAAAAAGCGAGAATAAAAAAAAAACTATTGAACATTTATGAAGCGACCCTCCCCCCACACTTTGGCCTCCCTACCTTGAACCATTCAAACAATCTCACGGTCGGTTGATTGATTCTGAAAAGGTGAGGCTAAAAAGGTCACCCTTGAGGTGAAGTACTACACGGAACAATTCGGGGGGTGGGGGGGCACTCTGTAGTTAAATTGCCGTTTAAGAGGGGTGGCTGCAGAGTTCATGACAGCGCAGGTGTGCTCACCCGTGTAATTTGCACATTTGTAAGCTCCTGGAAATAGTGAAATTAATGTGAAGGACCCCTTAGCACTCCGAGGCGTGTAGAGTTATGTGCCCGCATTTGTGAAGCCCCTGACATTTGGACACGGCTCGCAGATGGACTTACTGCGGGCCATTCTGTATCACCGGCGGCACGTACTTGTTGAAGAGTAACCACTTCAATGCCGAATCGAAGCTGCAGTGGGGAAACAAAGACAAAAAACACAACACGCATGGTACGTCTGTATTAGTTTTATGCAACGTATGGTTACGAACCACTTGTAACTCTATGTACGTGCACAGCCCCCTTTGTCAATCCACTGCTGGATGAGGGCCTCCCCCCATGCTATACAGGCCCGTGGGGGATATTTTACCATACTTCACCATGCCCATCAGTGCATGTTGGTGAAGCGTTGGTGAAGCGTAGACGTGGCAGAATAGAAGTACAGTACAATATCATTAGCCCTCCTTTGCAAGTACCAAAATATAATAATAGGGTCTTGCTCCTTTTTTCTGGCAACAAAACTGAAACCTTTTTACAAGGAATAACGTGTGCATTAACCACAATACTTGTGGTCAAAATGCAAGCAAAAAACACACTCTAATTATATGTGCATTGTCCTTGAAACTGATTGGTCCACACCAGAGACAGCTTTCTTTTTAACCTCGTCTCAATTGGTGCTAGACCAGAGCGTACATAACAGTACACAATGGATCATGGAACCTCCTTTGCCAGTACCAAAATATGAGAATAGGTTTTCCCCTTTTTTCTACACCTTTTGGCAAGTATTGTGGTTAATGCACACATGATTCCTTGTAAAAAGATTTCAGTTGTGTTGCCAGACAAAAGGGGAAAAACCCTATTAATATATTTTGGTACTGGCAAAGGAGGTCTAATGATGTAGATGCTTACCCCGAGCGCTCATTACTTTGATAGTGCATTGTCTTTTAGCTGTACGCCTTTTGGCGTCCCATGGTCTAGCACCAATTGAGATGAGGCTCAAAAAAAGCCGTCTCTGGTGTGGACCAATCAGTTTCAAGGATAATGCATACATTATCAGTGCTTTTTTGGTTGCACTTTGACCACACGTATTGTGGTTCATGCACAAATGATTCCTTGTAAAAAAAGGTTTCAGTTTTGTTGCCAGAAAAAAGGGAAAACCCCTATTATTACAGTACAATACTTTTGTAAACCAGCAGCAGTCTATACGTAACTTTGCATAGCATTGATATGTATATATAACTTTTAGTGGAATGCTTTATGTCAGAAAATGTCAGGAATGTAGTCTGATAATTAATTATATTATTGTGAGGTTAGACCAGAACCCTGACCCAGTGTACAAACCACCAAACTACAGTGGGTCCTCAAAATACTGGGCCAATTGAAGGGTCGTGTACCCTCGAATTTGCGTGTTATTGACAAAACCCAGTTATTTACATGAAGACCAAGTTCAGCCAATTGAGAGTTAGACATTTTATGGAGGTTACACGAAACCCACCACAGTTGCTGTACAGAACCGTACTTACCAGGTAAGGCCCACTGAGCTATGTAGTAACTCTTTTCAGAAGCGACCTGGCCATCACAAATGAGAGCTCAACCAAACAGCTCATCACGTGGACATGAATAGCTGCCAAATACTCTATAACGTGTGATGTAAGTTCTAAATGTGTCCGGTCAGAATGGAGAAATAGTTAACGAGTCAGCATAGCTTTTTTAATGTTGTTGCATTTGTTTAAGCTTTGCGAGTGCGAACGTCATTCTTTTTCTTTTCCAATTTGTTTAAAATGTCGAGGGGTTCCCCATTAACCACCCCCCCCCATCCACCCATCGTGTGGGGGAACACGGCACATCCGCCAACGTTGTTTCAAGGGACGCCATCGTAACAGACATCCTGAGCCGAGACGACCCTCGGCCCCTCCTCGCCTGCTCCTCCTCTGGCTGAAGATGAGCGCCGGCTCGTCCAGGTCTCCCTCCGTCGCCGCTTGTCCTTCGCTCACGACGCGGCGGATCGAATCGGTCACGGCGTGCAGTCCCGAGGGCGTGGGTAGAGACGGTGGAGGTGGTGGTGGAGGTGGTGGAGGTGGTGGAGGTAGGGGAGGGGGAACCATTGAGAAGTCCATCGTCCCACCTGCACCTTCCACCTCCTCATTTTCATCCTCCTTGTCCATTATCTTCTATTACTGATCCTGGCGGGCCCAGACAAGAAACTAATTTAGGCTCACGTACATTACGCATGTTGAACTTCTTTCGCACCGTACGTAGCCAACCGTGTTAATCGGAGGTGCGGACCACCACTGTACTCCAAAATAATCTTATTATATGACATCAGCCCTTTTTTCAGTCCACTGCTGGATGAGGGCCTATCCATGCCCTGTCGGTCGTAGGCTGTGCTTTGACCATACTTCACCACGACGGTCAGCGCGTGTTGATAAATGTGGGCTGAGCACAGAGTGCAGTACAACGATGGCTTTTGCTGCACTGCCCTCTGCTGGCAAGGTAACACGAGTGCGCAACGTGTGTCCAGGCTTACCGCTGCTTAGCTTTCTAGATTACATACCGAGTTTGCGTATCCGCGCCGTCGCGTGTTGCCGTATGCAAGCTGACAATCCACCCCCCCCCCCCCCCAAGGGATCCTTGGTAACGGAGATGTCCTCCATCTCAGGGGATTGTCCAGAAGAAATATTGTCGTGAGATTCTTATCGCCCAATAAGACATCGTCGGTGTGAGACCCGCCACACCATTTGAAACCAGTGGGGGGGAGAGGGGAGTTTCACAGCAGCACGATGATGATGATGATGGGGTGGGGGGTGTCACACTTTGTGCACTGTCGGTGGGCCGCATGTCCAGGGGCCGCACTAAAGGCCACCAAGGGCCGTCAGTGGCCCGTGGGACCTTGAAATTGTTAACACTGCCCTAGGCCGTCCAATGATAATGCATTGAGATAATTAACCTCATGAACATTGTGCCAGTCGGTGGCATCCCGAACACGCCTGGTGCACTGTTGTAGTGTTGTTCCTAACGTTGCGCTTTGTATCGGGTGGCAGTCGTTGGTTTGTTATACCCGAGTACCCCACGGCACACACATGCTGGCGCCCTTGCACACAAGGCTATCCAGGAGTTTGTTGAACCAGACTTCTCATCTGGTTTTATGAAACCAGACTTCTCATCTGGTTTGTTGAACCAGACTTCTCATCTGGTTTGTTTAACCAGACTTCTCATCTGGTTTGTTTAAACAGACTTCTCATCTGGTTTGTTTAAACAGACTTCTCATCTGGTTTGTTTAAACAGACTTCTCATCTGGTTTGTTTAACCAGACTTCTCATCTGGTTTGTTTAACCAGACTTCTCATCTGGTTTGTTTAAACAGACTTGTCATCTGGTTTGTTTAAACAGACTTCTCATCTGGTTTGTTTAACCAGACTTCTCATCTGGTTTGTTTAACCAGACTTCTCATCTGGTTTGTTTAAACAGACTTCTCATCTGGTTTGTTTAAACAGACTTCTCATCTGGTTTGTTCAAACAGACTTCTCATCTGGTTTGTTTAACCAGACTTCTCATCTGGTTTGTTGAACCAGACTTCTCATCTGGTTTGTTTAAACAGACTTGTCATCTGGTTTGTTTAAACAGACTTCTCATCTGGTTTGTTTAAACAGACTTCTCATCTGGTTTGTTTAACCATACTTCTCATCTGGTTTGTTTAACCAGACTTCTCATCTGGTTTGTTTAAACAGACTTCTCATCTGGTTTGTTCAAACAGACTTCTCATCTGGTTTGTTTAACCATACTTCTCATCTGGTTTGTTGAACCAGACTTCTCATCTGGTTTGTTTAAACAGACTTCTCATCTAGTTTGTTTAAACAGACTTCTCATCTGGTTTGTTTAAACAGACTTCTCATCTGGTTTGTTTAAACAGACTTCTCATCTGGTTTGTTTAAACAGACTTCTCATCTGGTTTGTTTAACCATACTTCTCATCTGGTTTGTTGAACCAGACTTCTCATCTGGTTTGTTTAAACAGACTTCTCATCTGGTTTGTTTAAACAGACTTCTCATCTGGTTTGTTTAAACAGACTTCTCATCTGGTTTGTTTAAACAGACTTCTCATCTGGTTTGTTGAACCAGACTTCTCATCTGGTTTGTTTAAACAGACTTCTCATCTGGTTTGCTAAACCAGACTTCTCATCTGGTTTGTTTAAACAGACTTCTCATCTGGTTTGTTTAAACAGACTTCTCATCTGGTTTGTTTAAACAGACTTCTCATCTGGTTTGTTTAAACAGACTTCTCATCTGGTTTGTTGAACCAGACTTCTCATCTGGTTTGTTTAAACAGACTTCTTATCTGGTTTGTTGAACCAGACTTCTCATCTGGTTTGTTTAAACAGACTTCTCATCTGGTTTGTTTAAACAGACTTCTCATCTGGTTTGTTGAACCAGACTTCTCATCTGGTTTGTTGAACCAGACTTCTCATCTGGTTTGTTGAACCAGACTTCTCATCTGGTTTGTTTAAACAGACTTCTCGTCTGGTTTGTTTAAACAGACTTCTCATCTGGTTTGTTTAACCAGACTTCTTATCTGGTTTGTTTAAACAGACTTCTCATCTGGTTTGTTGAACCAGACTTCTCATCTATGACCAAATCGCGCCCGAAATCCGGGCGACCTCATCAGACCTTGGGAAGCTCAGCAGGGTTTTTTTTCTGAGCATGGACAGCGCTTTCAGAATCATATTGCGTATTCTATACTGGCGGAATCCGATGAGCTATAAAGCTCTTTTTTTTGTCCACAGACGTCCAGCTTTGATTGGGCCCCCACCACAATGCGTGTGGGCTGCTACGGGGAGACGATGCAAACACAGCAAAGTCAACCATTTGACTTGAAACTTTGGTAACTGCAGGAATTCATATTCTTGGTTCTTCCGGTAAAGTCTCCCGCCTGATGAAGACCGCTTGTGTTGTGATCGAAACGTCGTGGGGTTTTTTTGCTTTAATTATTTTCAAATTGTTTTCATTTTATTTAACTATTTTGATTGTTTTTTTGCATTTTATTATTTTCAATTCATCATTTTTATTTTTTCTCATCTTCATTTAATTTCATTATTTTTTTTTCTATCTACGTGACTTTACCGAAAGAACCAATAATATAGCAAACTCAATTCGCTGCACAGCAACTATGCTCCCAAGTCGACGCTCTCCGCCAGCGCCAGCACGCGTTGACCAGCGTGGTGAAGTATGGTCAAACAACGAACCCCGGCCCCGCTTCCACCAATCACGACCGACTTGGTATAGGGCGGCGCAAGGAAGAGGCCTCATCCAGCAGTGGATTCACACGCGGGAGACCCGCCACTGAGTTAACCGGGCGACAACCTCTTTGCGAAGACCGTGGCCTCATCCAGCAGTGGAGTGGATTCGCGCGCGCTTCACCGCGCGCGCGCCCCGCCACAGCGCCGGTGTAGGCGTGGACGCGATCGTTGCCGTCTGTGAGGTTGCCGGGTCGGAGCGCCGGCCGCTGTCACCGCGGGACGGAGCGGGGTTGAGGCGGCGCTCCCAACACGGCGACCCTCGACCCGGAAGGGGAACGCCGGCCCGGTCAGCTGATCAAAAGCGCGGGAAAAAACTCCACAAAAACCCCACTGCACGTGGTCACAGGGCATTGTGTAGGGTTGGTGCAGATTGTATTGTGGTGAAACAGTAGTAGTAACAATAGTAGTAGTGGTAGTAATAATAATAATGATGGGCTTTAGCCTTTCTGGCGATAAAAAAAACGGGTGCGTTATTAGAACAGGTGTTTTATTGCCAGGGAGGGTGTTAAGATGTTCAAAGGGGCCGGCCATAAATGACGTCACGCAGCTGGGGGGGGGGGGGGGTTTGTTTAAACAGACTTCTCAGACATTTGTGACGATGTGTGACGAGAGAGGGGGGGGAGGGGTGAGAAATGTGACGTCACATCAAAATGCGCAACTTTTAATAAATATAGACAACACGTTCCAATTAATTAAATAGACGTTTTTAATAAATGTTTTCTCCTACAACATCAGAGTGCAGCGCCACATTAAATACGCACTATAATGACAATAGTTTACAGCGATTTGAAGCATGTTTTATTTTTTTTTGGGGGGGGGGGCGGGCAGAGCTTTGTGACGTCATATTTGAGGGGGGGGGGGGTCAAAAATCGTCCAAAATCGCGTGACGTCATTTATGGACGGCCCCAAACACTAAATGGATGCCACCTGATGACGGACGCTTGTGTTGCGCCCGAAACGTGATTTGTTTAATTTTATACCTACGTGACTACCGAAAGAACCAAAGAGTATGGATATGTATACCAATAGGTATCTATACCAATTGGTGTTTGGACATCTTAACACCTATTTTATTGACGGAATATGCTAAAGCCAAATTCCAATTTAATAATTTTGATACTGGCTAAAAAGGTCCCACAGATACAGATGTATTGTGACACCCATTTGATTCTTTAAAACGTAATGTTTTTGTGAGGTTATTTGTTTTTTACAAAAATTAATATGCAAAGGGATAAAATGTTGGGGGTCACAAGACATCTGGTACCACCCTGTACATTGATTAATTATAATTAGCACGCACGTTTACTCGCGACGATGGCCGCTTTGTTTAATTCCAATTAAGTATTATTATATATTTGTTTTAATACTAGGAAAGGCGCACTGTGTTGTACGCTCATTTTCAGAGGCGACCGGGCCACACACGGTAGCTTAGCATATGTGGGAATTTATAGTAGCAGCCAAATAAGAGAGAAAACGTGCAAGCTCCATCATTCGGGTCAGGATCAAACCCACGACACCCTGCGTAATAGGCGAGGGAGTTAGCATGTCGCCACCATGGGGTATTTTTTTTATAATTTGGTTATGATGAAGATGTGATCATCATTCATGATAACGTCTGTGATGGTGATGAATATACGGTCATTCGTGATGGTGATGTCTGTGACGGTAGCGGTGATGATGAATAGAGGATCGCCCATATAGCCTTAAAACACTGTCCGAGGTGAGTGTTGTTAGCGAGCACCTGTGAAGGCCGGCACGGCACACGAAGAAGTGGGTGGCCAGCGTCACGCCCGGCCGCCTTTGTCTCCCGAGTGGCGATGCTTACACATTGCACCAGGTAGAGTACTCATTTGAGGCTAAGTCGACCTAGGGGAGGCCCAGGACTGATTTAGATAATCATCACTGGTATTGGCCGTGAACGGGAATCGAACTCTGTTCTCCGGGTTCGCATCAGTGCGCTAACCACCGCGCCACCGCTACCCGGATCGATAGTGCAAGTGGTCAGCGCACTGCACTACAAACCCAGAGACCCGAATATCTAAACCTGTCCTGGGCGTCTCCCAGGTCGACCCAGCCATAAATGAGCAGCTGGTGCGGTGTTTCAGCATTAACATTTGTGGAGAAAAAGGTAGCCTGGTCAACGGCGTGCGCCACGCCGGTCCTAATAGATGCAGTACCATAGGGTGCTCGCTAACAGCACTTGCCCCAACAGTCTGGCCCAGAGTTGGCACCGCAGAGATCCTGTGTTCAAATCCACACAGCCACGTGTGATTTAACCGGGTTCTCCTCTCTCGAGGGGAGCGTGTTAATGGTTTCAGCCCGGTCATCAATGACTGACATAGAGACCCATAGACTCGCACGGAGACTCAGACTCAAATATACCGAAACCAAGTTGTGATGAAACTGGCTTCTCAAAGTGTAGCGAGTTAATGGTCTCAGCAAGGTCACCAATTAATGCACACACACGAAAAAAAAACATCACGTAAAAATTCTGATTCTACACTTAATTTGGATCAAGTCCAGTTTTCAAAGAATACCGGTCAAATTGTTATAAAGAGCCGGTGAAAAAAAACTGATTCCCTCCACTATGTAGACCAGAAGGTTACTGGGGCCATTCTCTTCATATGAAGTTTGCACAGCCCTGCGGGAGACCGGAGTTGATTCTTCGTCTCATGACATGGCAACGATAGCATAATTGGGATGCAATTGTGGGGAAGTGATGAAACGTTCAACAATACACGCTAGCAAGCCCCTTCCTTGCATTGCAGGCTATGAATCTAAACGTGCTCCACACTTGGCCAAAGTACAATTGTAATCATTATAAATAAACCTTACGAACGTGCTCCAGCAAGCTCAAGTTTATTTTGTCTGACCAATAAACCAGGATGAGTCTCATTTGCAAGAGTGACCTGGGGCAACAGTCTGCCAATAGGGGGGGGGGGGGGTTATTGCAGCTGTCTGTACAAATCCACACTGTTAATTTACAAGCAATTAACGTATTTGAAAAAAATAGACCCTGACGCAGGCACACACCGGCTTACTCTGGGGATCCGTAACGTCCCCTGTGAATTGGACGACGCGTGGTGCTATCGTGGCCATTACACCTGCCAGTATTAAACAGGACGGACGCCGGATTCGAACCGGGAACCTCTTAATGCGCTGCGAACGCAAGGCCCATGTCACAGCCAGCAAGCCTGCATTGATTAATAATGTGCCTTGCAGAGACAAGCTGCAATTACAATAGAAATGCCTCGTTAGTTATCAAAGTGAATACTGCACATCTGGGTGCCTTTACTTCACCCGCTTAACAACCTAATTGCAATTATGAGCAACAATACATTATAAGCAGATTTTTTATATTTTTTTTCTCTCAGAGGGCAATCAGAACATTTAAAAGACAATAGAAATATAATGATGCTTTGACTGTAAGTAATAAATAATTACGTGACAATCAAATACGAATTGCATCCCTTGTCAATCCACTGCTGGATGAAGGCCTCCTCACATGCTCTATTGGACGTGGAGGCTGTTTGACCATACTTCACCACACTTTGGCGGTCGGCCAGGAGGCGAGACCGCCTCTCAGCTCGGCCGCATTCATTGGTGAGGGTTGCTAACCACCGCGCCACCGCTCCACCACCACGCACACACGAGACTAGACACAGCGTTTGGGAATGTTTATTATGGTAAACGTGTGAGGCAAAGTGCGTGTGTTGTTGTTGTTGTTGTTTGCTTCGCATAGGACTCCACGTGGAGAAGAAACAATGGCAGGCCTTCATGTTCCATGTAGCTTAGCTGTAAACATCTGTAGCATGCGCTGACACTTGGCATACGTATGCATGCTTCCATCCGACAATGAAAGGGGACGAGCCTTTTATAATGTAGGCTGTAGTTCATATCTCATGATACCTGTGCTTTTATTTCGTCAATTCGTCTTTAAGCCAGGCGTTGAATTAACTCCATATTTCACGGCCCATCACAGTACGCCTGAACCTGCTTGCCATGCAATCCGCTAACGTCCAAAAAAGAGATATTAACAAACCAAAAAAACTCAACTCATTCGTCAACAGCCCGATGTGAGAATGCCCACTGCCCCCAAAACGTCGCCAAATATATCTTTCTTTTCAAGACCACACCGTTAAGAATGTATTTAAATCGTGTGAACGGTGGCTACCGTGGGTCGCACAAACCTTTGGAAGTACAACGTGTTTACCAGTTGAAAACAGCCGATTTTGCACGCCGATTCGATGCACGGGCATCGCGAAGATGACAGTTCATTCTGACGAATCATTACGTGCCGACTCAATTGGCAATTGAACGGGGCGTGGATTGGTGAACGTGGAATGGCGCGCCACGGTGGGTGGCGAGGGCTGGCGTGGGACCCGAAGCGGTACAGGAGGTTTTATTTCGGAAACAGAACGAGCGAGGCACTCGCGATCAATATAATTCAGCCGACTTTGGTAATTGAACATCACATCATTATGGGCTATACACATGTATGTTGCGTGCAATCCTTGGCAAAAGTCGATGCGCGTGTGCCGCGCACATGTAAAAGCAAGCGTTTGGCACAACAACAAAAACAAGAAATCGCCAACTGGGTTTTTGATTTTGTGTGTGTGGGGCACCATGAGCGGGGTCACTGGAGTTTTGTCGCTCCGC